GTATCAGCGAGGCACCCACACACAAACAGTAGTGTGAGTTGTGTGTGTGTGTGTGTGTGTGTGTGTGATTGTCACAAGTGTAAGTTATATGCTGGCGATGCAGACATGCAGACGATAACCACTCAAATGAAAAGCAATACTACTACTACAAATAATAATAATACAATGTAATATATCAATGGGAAAATGCATCAATATACAATTACCCAGTCGTCAATCACAGGGATCATGGTCCCTAAACCCTAAAAGGTATAAATACATTGTAGTTTTTTTAGAGTAATTCATTTGTTAAAAACAGGATGAAAAATGCAATAAACCATGTTAAAGATGAAGTTGACTGATTTATTATTTAGTGAAAATCTCATATCGTCAAAGCCCTGCTCTCTGGTTTTATCTGTTATATTATATTGCAGCTTTTTACTGATGCAGTCTAACATGTGGAAAACAAACTGAGAAAAAAATATATATATAATATAAATATATATTTTTTTAAATTTAAATCTGTCTCTTTTTGGCAATTTGGAGTTACTTAAAAAACGTTAAGCTACAGAGCTACAAAAAAAATAAAATATAAATATTTTTCATTTTTTAGCCTTGACTGGACAGATGATATCCCTGTTCAGAGTCAAACTGGAGATACTTGACAGTACAAACTATTAAAAAAAAAAAAAAACCCAGCAACAGAAACAAATCTCATAAGTTTGAACGCTAATCAACTGTATCTGTAAAATATAATGCCCAAGTCAACAAAGGACGACAAGACACCGTGTACCACGTTCTATTGCTACGTGAACCTTTGTCACATCATTAACCTCCCTCACTTTTCCCACTGTACAATAAATGCTGCTCATAAAGCATTTATTGATTTTTTTGAATAATGTTCAATGTCATAGAACATTTGAAAAGCAACAAACTAACCACCAACCAGTGACACGATGAAACTAACTTAACAGATATGATGGAATTTTCTGGAAATATGTAAGTTTTCCAATAAGGCTGCTGTCACCTCACAACTTTTAATTTCATGCTTCATTACAGGCTGAAGACAATCTCTCACATCTGACACTGTACGATCAAAAAAATGCATCACCCTCCGTGTAAAACAAAGCTATTCGAAGTTGTTTTAAACATGCTGCAGTTCAGAGACAAAAGCTTTCCATCTATCAGAGACCATTACTGAGAGATTTGTGGAAATCCACTAATATAAAAAATCCAGCGTGTGCAAACCAATGCAGGATAAGGATTCTTAAAACGGCTGAAATCCTAATGGAGGTTCTGTGCTCCTCAGCTTCTTCTCTCCATCCTGACCTCTGCCCTCACCCCGATGCTTCCTTCATCACTGTCATCATCACTGCTGAGAGAAACGGATGCTTCCGCAGAGCCCGAGTTTCCTCTCACTCCTCCCTCCGACACTCAAAGAATCCCCCGGAGAGCATCCGTGGGCCTGACGCCGATTGTCGCGTCCACCTAGTTAACATCTCCCCTGGTGGCTTCTCTTTAAAAAAAAGGAGCCTGGAATGTGAGAAGGGTGACGACCCTCACCCACTCTGCCGCCACCTCGCCCAGAAAGACAGCGCAAACAGTAATTGCCACATAAATTACGTTACACTGCGTTTTTCACATTTGCCCCTCGGCGCTCTCGATGATTCGCTGATATACTGTACGGTACGCTGAGAGAACAGGGTGATAAGCACGGCTGTAAAAAGAAATAATGTTGGTCTATAAATCTCTGCAGTGCTTATTTTTACGTTAAAAACCTCGATGGATAAAAGACCAGGAATATGTTGCACATATGTCCCAGTTAAAGGCAGATGAGAGGGGGAAAGGCCACACTGCTGACTGACAGGTCTGATTTTGCCAAAAACACACACACACACACTCACATCTTCCTGCACACCACCGGGTTGTCACACACCTCAACAAGGATTTTCTCTGTGGCACCGACATCCCTTTACAGACATAAGCGACATAATAAATCACAAAAGGTTGTGATTAATAAAGAGGCAGACACACAGGATGTCCATGAATCCTTCTCGGGGGCAACGACAGTGGTCAAACGCTGCGCTTGAGGGAGAGCAAACAAATACAGAGCGAGGTGTGTACACGAGCAGAGCGCCGGGCTGACGGGAGCATTGTAACCTGAACAATACGATGAGGCAGCGGGCAGCGGTTGGCAAACTGCAGCACAGAGAGCAAAAAACACAGATGGTGGATTTAGTAAAGTGTGGGATTTCTAGGAAGACTGTGCAGAGAACCGGCCCGGGTGCCAAAAAGATGAGAACAAATAAATCTCCGGCCTGTAATCTGCATTCTGCAATTATTTTGTCTCGTCCATCCAAAACTGAACAACTGCAAAGAAGAGTTTAGCCGTGGGAAGAAAAAAAAAGGAAATTAATAGAAGTTGTGAAGAGGAATCTGCTTACAACCTTCTGAATACTCACACACAGGTTTTAGCGAGTCCATCTACAAATAATCTGCAGTCTTCTCCGGGGATTAAGCCCCAAATACCAAGCAGTAATCCCTCAGTGACTTTTTGCCTTGAGGTCTGTAAAAAAATGATTGTGTGAAACTTTAAGATGATCACATTTGGGATGAAGGAATAAATTTCAGCTCTGGATCAGTTCAGCTTTGTGTAATTTGAAAAAAGATCCTTCAATCCCAAAGTGCTTTTATTTTCTATTTATATTTGGACGGTTTAAGAAACGTGAATAATCCCGGGACAAACAATGGGACAGGAAGGGCCGATCTGACTGAGCACAATCCGTCCACCTCCTGCAGCTCTGGAGGAGTCAGCGGCCATCAGCACTTCCTAAAGACACACTTCATTTACAAGCGGTCCCCTGAACTGGCCCCTAATGTCCCGTGTTATCAGAATGAATCAGCAGTGCTGATAAATTAGCCGTACGGAAACACAAGCGAAGGCCTGTCAGCTAATGTGCGCGCGTTTGTGTGATACTCATATGCAATGCTTAATGTTGTGGAACCAATTCTGTCGTTTCCATTATGTAAATACATTTGCCTCAGCACTATATTTTATGTATTGTCTGCCTTGTCTCAATTACTTGGGCTATTAAAAATCAAGAGGTTATGGAAATGAGGTGCAGTTGTCTGTTTGTAGTTTGATGACAAGTGCAAAGTGTTTATGAAAGCTCGTTATGCATTCAATTGCAGTCGGATACGTCAACACGCTCCGAGCTTTCATCCATATTCCACAATGCAATGGGGTGGCACGTCAGTATCTCCAAGCATAAACAACACAAACACTAGTGCTCTCATCTGTTACACATATAAATAAATAAAAATAAACGTGTCATCGCTATTTTATTTAGTCCTACCCATGCGTTTCTCAGGGAGGTGCCAGGAAATGTAAGCAAAAAAGGATCATGTAATATTTCTGGGAGTGTCTGTGGCTTCTCCACAGCAAATAAATGTTTGATGCTTCAGTTTGAGGGGGAAAGTTGCTGTTAATTAGAAGAAAACACCTCAGGAAATAATCTAGAAAACTGAAATCAGGAGAGTTTCCCCACACGCAGTTTAAAAAATCAAAAGGTTTCACTGACATATCCGAAAGAACTTTTTCCTCAATCTTTTCAAAATGTCATTTCCCCATTTTTCCCACTGAGGAGCGCACAACGGAACAACAAATTACACTGCGGATACATTTTCACGACGAACAAAACTCAGTGGTGAATTGTGAGCATTTTTACCACACAACTCAAAAAAGTGAGAGGTGTTGAGATGGAAATGTGTGATTTAAGGCCAGTGTTCTTTTGTTTTCCTCCAATGAATTTGTGGAATAAATGACATAAGTCAATGGCAGAGATGCTGTCATTTACTGGGTTATCTAGACCATACTGGGGATTTGTTTACTTCGAACACTGGTCAGCATCTATCACGGTGCGGCTACAGACAAACACTCAATAGGAAAAAATGTCACCGTTATCATGTTTCAGTGGAAATCAGCAGCATTTCCATTTTAATTACACATATAATTGAGCGTTTTCCAGTGTGTCTCACTGTGTTAACACAGACTCCATCCTCTCTTCTTCATTAGGAACACTTCTCCTCTTTACACCTCTGATTCGAAATAAAAAACAAATACACACAAATAAAAATCATGACTCTAAATCAAATGTTTTTTCCTGAATTGTCGAGCAGCTATTGCCTTATTTTCAGCTTCAATCTTTTCTGTCTCAGGCCCAGAACAGTTTGTCAAACTTTACAGTGTTGAGTGTAGGTGAATGAGGAGCAGCACAGCACTAAGATCCAAAGCTTGTATTGAAGGGAAATTATTTTAAATTAGACAATAAGAGAAAAAAGAAACTGAGAAATTATGAGGAAAATAAAGACTGTGCGTCAAGCCCTTGTTAAAGTAACAATTAAATGTGTGAGTGATTTACTTGGAAATATGTGTAGCTTCTTTAAACTGAGCATTGGGGTTGTCTAACAGCAGAACACACTAGTTTAATTATTTGAAGGAAATAATAGATATGAGGGAAGAAACCTGTGTCTTTTTTAATAAGAAAGTTATTTTACTTTGAATCAAAGCTCATGTGTTAAATTGTAAAAAAAAAAAAAAAGGCACTTTTCTCACAAGACTGCGTTTCTTATTTAAACGATTAAAGCTAATTCAGAGTTTAATTCCCTTCCTCTTGTCCTGGATGTAAAAGACAATGAAGCATATTCAGGACAGGAGCGCAGCGGCAACTTCGGCTTCACCGGCGGAGAGACAATGCGTCATTTAAAGGCTCTGGAGCGGGTTATATTACGCTTCATTCACAGAGAAGCTGACATTTCTTCATGTTCCTACACTTTCCAATATATTTCGATATGTGCACCAGCTAAACCCGGCGCGGAGCTGGCTGAGGCGGCAGCGCGTGCAGGCTGTGGCCGGCGGTGCGCTCCGGTGCCCTCGCCAAGGTTGCGCACGACCTCTGTTCGCACAAGAAGGAGAAAGAGGGGCACTAAAAAAAACAAAACAAGTGTGTTAAAGTTGTTACCTTTTCTCTTCGATCGCCTCCTCCTCCTCCTCTTCAGCTTGCATTTCACCTGGCCGCCCTGAGCCCCGGACGCGCGGCTGCTGTTTCCAAGTACGGATGCCATCGGCGCATGCAGCCCCTCGCCTGCTTTGGAGCGAAGCGCAGGGACAACTTGGGAGGACTCGGGCGGCTCGACTCTTGCTTTGTACTTTGTGTCGCTTCCAGCCTCCGTTGCTGTGCGATAACGCAGAAGGTTTGACGTAGACTCGGGACTATTTCGGCTCTCCCTGCGAACCAGCGTGGAGAGGGAGGGAGGAGTGTGTGCGTCTTGCTGTTCGTGTATCACCTCTGTAACTCCAGCTCACACACACACACAGACTGTTCTCAGCGCAGCGGCTCCGGTCCTCCCGCTCCTCTCCCGACTAGAAATGTTTGGCATCAGCCACTTTGGATTCAACCATGCATGGCTCCTATCTATTTGCTGCCGAGCTTTCTAATTAGGGTCCAATCGTGGCTGTCTGGGAGGTGTGACATCACCAGCGACACCCTCCAGCCCACACCCCTTCTTCACCCATCCCCACTTACTCCACACACTTAGTTTCCTCCTCTTCTCCCACATGCACTGCAGGGGAAGCTTGTTCCCTTCAGAGGTCAGAGGTCAGCCTGGTGTAGGGACGCTTGCTCAAGGGCACTTGCAGCAGGTCGGATGTTTGGCAGCATGAGGGGCTTGAACGTGGGTTTCTCCTGCTTCTCCATCCTTCAGTAAACTCAACTTCAGGCTAGAGGAAGAGAAAGATGTGATATTTTAGACACTGAGGAGGAAATACAAACTAGAAAATACTTAAAGCGTCTTCTTCTTCTCCTTGTAAACTACTTTTGTCAGCTAAGATTTGGGTTTTTCATTTTCCTGCAGGATTATGGATCTAAAGTGAACCCCCCCTCATCCCTGCTCTCTGTTCTAAAGTCACTCAAAGGAAGATTACTGCGCTAAGACGCTATAATGTTCAATTAACTGGCTTTTTCACACATGCAGCAACAACTCTGTTACATCAAATGCATTTTTGATATGCGCTCTGTCAGTTTAATTATTATGCATTTCCTTTTGACTCGTTTTTTCTACAATTTCCATGACAAAATGTGGCTCCATTTATTTTGAAAGGGCCGGGTGACCTTCAGCACAGGAGGTAGAAACTCCACTGACAATGCGCCACCGCCGCCGCTGAGTTCCAACATTGTGACACTTTGGCATTTTTGTGTGAAAGCGCAGCGTCCAAGCTTTCAGAAAGAATTTGTGGCTTTTCTATAGCTGCGGGTTGTTGTTTTATTCCCCCGGCCTCTGCAGCGGAAGTTCAGGTGTGCGTTGGGAGGAGGCGCTATGGGACTGCCGGACATAGTCACAGCCAGTTCAGGAGAAAAAAGTGCATGCAGATTTATTTACTTTCTCACGCTTCCCCTGGCTGGTTTTACTGTGTTAGTTTGCGTTTCTATATGTGCAGTTACGCAATAAAAGGAAAGAAAATGATGATTAAAAACGACATGAATCAGCTTTCACTGCCTGTAAAAGCTTTTACTTCCCTAAAAACACCTCCTGTACCCTCAGCAGCTCCCTCCCATTAAACTTTTTTTTAAAAACAGCCTATTTGTTGGAAAAGCACCACGACATGTTTGCTGATGTCAGATTGAAAAGTCACTTTGAGGCTCTGTTGTTGGGCGGAAACATTTCCTACCGGCCTGAGGGGCAGAGAGAGAGCAAGGGGAGAGCGAGGTGAGAGCGAGGAGGCCGGGGCCGTGCGCCAGGCTGCAGCCATGCCCTCAGGACGCCCACAAATATCCATGTAAATTGCAGTTTAAGAGAAATCAATACAAGTGACAAGTTGCCAATGCCACTATCTGGGGCAGTAATGAAGGTGTGCTGGTCGTTTGGGGGGGGGGGGTGCAGCACACATAGATTACAGCAAACAGGCTGGGTGGGCCCGAGGTTCAGGTTAGAGGCACATGGACATGCACACACTGACACAGCAAGGTCAGTGGTTGTCGGATGGATGCAAAGTGCCACTAAAGGTTCAAACTAACCTTGATTATCTCCACTGTCGCCCCTAATGTACTGAATCCCTGTAACATATATATATTTAGAGCTGACGTCACCACGACCAAGGACATAGATGCTGAAAATGTGTCAAAATGAAAATTTGAACGAGAGAAAAACATATCACATTTCTACTGTTTCATTGTTGTTTGATAACTTTTCTTCACAAGCTGCTAAATACTCAAAAAGCCATAATGTCGTCTTCCAGTTGCCTTAGAATTCACACTGAAGAAGTGTTTGAGGTAATTTAAAGTTTGAATCAATCAAATATTGGTGAAAAAGTGAATTAATTTATAGAGGAACATTGATTGCAGCTCTTTATATGGAGTTGTTCTTTTACATACAGGTCACTTGTTCACACCTCGGACTAATGTATCTATACACTGCAACATTACCTTTGTTATTATAAGTTTATATCAAATAAAACCAACACATTTGTGGGGAATAACTGTACATTTTATAATAATATATAACAGAGGTTAATATCAGTCATGGATTTCTACAGTTTAAGGTTATAACTATGGTATGATTGTGATAATCAGGCCTGCTGCTAAGGACTACTTAAATATGATTATTCATATTGATAAAGTTTCTTTTAAATTAATATTTTTATGTTTTAAACTATAAAAACATGCATTTGCCTGAAAATTGTATGTTTCCCAGAGTTGGGCGGGTTGATGAAGCTTCTAATGTCCAGCAGATGCAAAAATTAAAAAAGAAAACAAATATCTCTCAGTGAAAAAGAGGTGTCATAGACGTCAAGAGAGTCTTTGGTGATAAGAGCGGACACTGGTGTCTGTGTGTTGTCAAGAAAATCTCTGCAGCAGAGTTAAAACGTCACTTCCTGCCTCTTTCTGCTTCACCTCTCGCCTGAAGAATGCGGAGGATGTGATGTTGTGAACGTGTCTGTGCAGAAAACCTGTGTGAAAGGAGAACTCTGGGTAAACTCCGTAGCCAATTTACCCACAGGTCATGTCCTAAAACAGCTTCAGTGGAAAACCTCCGGGTTTTTTACAGTGGCACTGCAGCAATTGAACATTGTGTCTTTGCTCAGGACTCACAAGAAACAGATTAAAAAAAAAACTTGTTCCTACATTTCCCATGATGCAAATCGATAGCATTTTTTAATTACCGACATCTCGTAAAAGGCCATGTCCTTTAAACTCCATTCAAAGTTTATCACAAAGGATTTCTATTCTGTTAAGTTCTTTTTACAAGCATAAGAAACCAGAGCTGCAGAATGTCTGGTATCAGAAGTCGGTTTTTAAACTACTTATTTCTGTGTAACATCAGAAGAGCGCTCTCTTAACATTGATTTCATGTTTAAAAATAGCTTTTTACTTAGTGCCGTGTACAGAGCTAATCTAAATGACAGGGTTTCATTCAAAACCTGCCAGTTTCAAAGAAGAGATATTTATGAAGCTCGAAGACTGTGGCCTGTGACGAGGATCATTATATATTACTTTCTGTTAGTTTTTTCATGATACTGATCAGTTACATGATACAGAATCTGTTTAATTCCAAGCTATGTCTGTGAACATAATAACATCTTTACTCTTAAGTAACTGATTGCATTCTCTCTCATTTGTGTAATATTCATTTACTTGTAATTTAATCTTTAATACATTTGCTCATTACAGAGCCCACTTAGTTCAACACCTAGTTTCCTTTGTTTGTTATATGCCACAAAGCTGCACTTTCCTTGCTTTCATTAAAAATCTCATTCCAGGTGAGAGACTAAATTAAAGGAGTGCTTATTTTAAAACCCTGTTTATGATCTAATACTGTCTGTGTCCTACAGAATATTAATGTGATAGCACGGTAAATAAGGGACTGAAAAACGTGTGTATTTGACAACTCCTGTGACACAATTGCAGTGGAATGTGTTTCTGTTTCTGTGTTTACTCACATAGCATTGGTTTGATGTCATATCTATGGATTAATGAGTTGATTTTAATTGAGATTACCGCAAAGAGGTAGCAACAAGTCTTTCTTCTATCGTCAAATCAGACACCTGCAATCTAAAGATAAGGAGGCCAATCAGTATGCTGCTCACACAAATTCATTTTCTGCACTTCTGACTTTTCATTCATATATATGTGTATCTATAAATATATATATATATATGTGTATATATATATATACATATATATATATACACACACAAACATATGTATAATGCTCATATGGCTTTAAAGCCTTTAAAAAGCTTCTCAGCTGCCAACCTTGATCTTACAGTTTCCATTGTTAGAATTGATTTGACAATGTGTCAGTGATAACATGAGCCTGTCTCCATGGTAATGCATGTGTTGCTCTAACACACTGTAAATTACATTGACTTTTCTTAACTCATCATTCCTTAAAAGATATTGCTTATTTATAATTATATCAGGCGCAGATGAAATAAATAGAAACATTAAACATTAAACTTCTCTCGACCTCATTAGAGTCATTTGAGAGAAAGCGACCCTGCTGCTTGTCAAGCCTCCCAGCCAGGTGAACGTGGAGAAGCCTCAGACCTTCGTCATCAGTCTCCGGGTGAGTATTGACATTGAGCTTTTTTTCTACGACAGGTGGGGGCAGCAGTTAGGTGGTAGTTGCCTTATTGTGGCTCAGGCTTGTCACCAGACAGACGACCGTGAGACTCACACGCACTTTAACATCTCCCCCCAACACAGCCAGTTTGCTCCTCAGACAAATGGACAGTGAGAGGTGGCACTTGGCTGCTACCACTCCAGTTGTGTGTCGCGTTCACACTCTGCAGGATTGTGTTTCATGTGCTTTATTATGGTTTAAGAGTCCAAGTCCGCCACAGAAGTCCAAATTGAGTTCCTGTTACCTAAGTCCAAGTCTCTGGTCTCTCTTGCTACAGTATGCAATTTTATATAGGGTTTCTTCTTTGCAACATTGTGTGATTTATGATGGTGTTTCCTTAGTTCCTAAGGTCCTGTATTCATTGAGTCTTGTTTTTAGTATGTGAAGTGCAATGTGTTAGAATGAGATTGTATGAAAGTTTATACACCAATAAAGTCTTTAATTGACTGACTGACTGAGTGATTTTCTCACATTATATGGACGACAGTCGTGTAAATGTCACTGAAACATGCAGGAAGGCCTACATTCTTTAAACCCTCAGCTACAGATCCTCTCACTGTGGATGACTGATCCAAACTATTCAGCCTATGCATAGTCTCTGTGTGTATAATCAAATCATTCAACATTAATATGAATAAACAAATGTCTTGAATAATAAATTTGATGCCTCATTATTATTGTTAGAGAGTTACAGCCAGATAACAATAGTTTATGATTATTTTAAGAGCAGAATCTGGTGGAGTCAAGTTGATAAATTGTGGATTTTCCCAAATTTACAGACAGCTGTCATTACCTCCTGTATCAACCAATAGGCACACAGTAAAATCTCTGAATCCCAGTTACCAGTCTTATTGCAGTGTTGTAGATTTTCAAATTAATTACAAAAGAGTTCTTCCTCTTTCTTAAGGCACCGCACTCATTAAAAACTGCCCCACTTGAATCGCATCAGGTGTAAAATATTCCAGGCAACGTGATCTAGTCAGCCATCAAAAATCAAATACATTTTGGTGAAATATTTAT